TGTCATTCACACTGAGCCCGTGTGACATCTTCAGGCTGGGTGAAATAAATTAGTTTAAATAAAATAAAATAAAGTGAAGGCATTAAACTAACACTATATTTCTTATTTCTCTGGGTCAGAGCCTAATGTGATTCTCACATCCTGCTTGATACATTTTGAAAATGTTGAAGTTTGTTTTAATTCTACTATTGCCATGACCTACGAATTTCATGAACTTTTGACTTGTGCAATGGATAGTTTTCATTGAAATTGGTCAATAGGATGTATAACAGAGCTCCCTGTACCCCTGACTGGGTACCTCCTCCAAGGACCGCTTCCTAGCTGGAACAGGGACAAACCGCAGCACTCGCCGTAGCTTGGCCATGAATAGGGGGGTTTGTCACAGGATGTCACAAACGGTACTCCAGGGGAGGAATTTATTTTTGAAATGATATTTGAATTGAGTATGAGAATTTTAGAGGCAAATGCGTTCTCTACTTTATAAAGTAACTGATAAAGTTGAAATTTCATGTCATTATCAGGGCTTCTAACAAAATATGGAATTGTGTAAAAAATGCATGTTTCGTTAACGCATATAAATAATTGCTTTAAAAAAGTACGCATTTACTTAAATTTGTACAAAAAAACAATTTCACAAGCACAAAACAAATTACCTTTGGGGTGGTGCCTGACTGTCAAGCTGAAGAGACACAGTCTGCTTGGGCGCCTCTGCACTTCACATTAAACAGTGCCTCAATCTCTGATTTAAGTCTAATTCTGGCAACAACAAGCTTGCTTTGGGAGTCTCCTGGGCATCTCCTCACCTAAGTGCCAACATTCATCCTCCCAGCTAATTCTGCCTCCTAGCAGAGATTCCAAGACAGCCACCTCTGAAGATGCCTATGGCAAACAGCAAAAGAGCAACCTACACAATGAAAGCAAACCTTCACAAACGCATTTGATGCTCTCTTCTCCCAGTTATGGGATAGACTTGAGGTCTGACATCACAGTCGTCCAGCACTGGTGCTGGTGGAGGCTTTGGTAGGTGACACCCAACCTAGGCCTGAAGCCATCCAGGTAGTTACACCTGAGCACTGTCCACACACTCAGGAGATCCAACGCTCTTAGTCCATGGAGGACGCACAACGTAGATTTGCCTGAGACTCTGACTCACCCCTAGAAGATTGGATCAGTGGGCATTTGGTGCAGGATTCAATGACAACCTGGGGCTGGAGAGAAAGTGTAAATGGAGCATATACCCGCCTGTCGATCCTCACATTGTCGGAGAATCCTTTGAGACTCTGTCCAATCATGGGAATCGGGTGATCCTATAACAAGCACCGAAAAACCATAAACATGAAGTCTGGTTGGTGTTTCCACCCTCAAACTGTCAGTTTGAATGCAGCGCTATACCAATATGTGAGGCGGATTTCCCTCAAAGAAGTGCATAAAACACTTACCCTTTCTGTAAGTGGTATACTTAAGAGGGATACATAAAAGACAAAAGCAAGATACAAATAATAGTGCAATATTGTATATTATAACAGAAAAATATTTTTTGTGAGTAGAAGTAAACTCACATTTTTTAGAGCCTTTTCCAGATTATATTTAGTTTGTCATTGGCTCCTTGGTGGCCGTACGTCCTTAACAACCACTCTTACTGCAGTTACGGGGGCTGGATACACATTTTATTTTCTTGTGCTTCTCTTTACTTTTTCTAGTTCATAAATTAGCTTTTTTGTTTACTGAGAATGTGTGCCTTCTAAATTCACAACCCTGTGTCAGTATCACCGTTATTCTCTTCTACGCTAAGTTTTCTAGGGCAGGTTTGTTTCATGTTTATTTTCTTTTATTATTTTAAATTAAGCGGAACTATCCCAGAGTCTATTCACACATGTCACCAATGCAGGTACACATATCTTATAACTCAGTTTTGCTTCCATTGGATTCCTAATCTGCCTCAATAAAAACAAAGACTGACAAAAATAAAATAAAAATTACCTTTCACTAGAACAGGGACCTGCAGCTTATGAAGATCCATCCCTTTTCTGCCTAGAATTTACTTGTTACTATCCAATTAACCACTTCACTAGAATTGTTTGTTTATTATGTTTTACTTTCATTCACTTTGCTAAATATTTTTTAGTCCATAAAGCCTTAATTACTCTCATTAGTATTGCAGCAGTGAGTCTCTAGTCTGTTTGCAGGGCCGGACTGGGAAAAAAATTAGGCCCGGGCATTTTTCAATCAGAGCGGCCCCCTAAGAAGGGGGCGGGGCCAGAGAGTGTGTGTTTTGTCATCACTAATGACAACACACCCCCTCTCAAAATGAGCATGTTGGTTCAATGCCCAGAGCCCTGCTGAAGAGCTCTGGCATTAGAAAAAGGCCCTGAATTTGTTCTGCGCAGCGCAAGCAAATGAAATAACATGCTTGTGCTGTGTTTGCTTTTAAATTGTCTCTGGTGTCTCCACAAGTGGGATACCAGAGGACAAATGGAAAGTGCATGGTGCATATGTTTGGAGCCTGCTTGTGGGATTGCGTGTGTGTAGAGTGTGGTGTGGTATTGTGTAAATAGGTCAATTTAATTTGTGTTTGTGGTGTAATATGTGTGGCTAGGGGCTGTAGAGAGTGTGTGTATAGGGGCATAGTTTTATAGGGGATGCAGCGAGTGTGTGCATACGGGCTGAAGTGTGTGTGTATAGGTGACGTAGTGTGTGTAGGGGTTGCAGAGAGGGTGTGTTTAGAGAATGTTGTATGTGTTTGCTGACAAGGAATGTAGTGTGTGTGTGTAGGAGATCTACTGTGTAAAGGACCCAGTGTGTGTGTGTGTGTATAGAGGATAAAGAGTGTATATAGAGTAAGGGATCTAGTGTGTATCTGGAGTGTAATGTGTGTAGTGGTGCAGTGTGAGGGGTGCTGTAGTGTGTGTGTGTGTGTGTATGTATATATATATATATATTTGGACTTATTGTATGTTTGAGGGGCGCAGTGTGTGTATGTAAGAGGGGTGCTGTGTGTGAGGGTGTTTTTATCTGCTGTCACATTCTAGGTTTCTAATTTTCTTTGTCTGTTAACTCACTGAGGGTTATTTTATATATGTGTGTGTGCTGTATATGTGTGGGAGTGTGCTGTGTGTGTCTGGGTGCTGTGTGTGTCTGGGGGTGTGTGTCTGGGTGCAGTGTGTGTCTGTGGGTGCAGTGTGTGTCTGGGTGCAGTGTGTGTCTGGGTGCGCAGTGTGTGTCTGGGTGTGCAGTGTGTGTCTGGGTGCGCTGTGTGTGTCTGGGTGCGCTGTGTGTGTCTGGGGGTGCTGTGTGTGTCTGGGGGTGCTGTGTGTGTCTGGGGGTAGTGTGTGTTTGGGTGCAGTGTGTGTCTGGGTGCAGTGTGTGTCTGGGTGCGCTGTGTGTGTCTGGGGGTGCTGTGTGTGTCTGGGTGCGCTGTGTGTGTCTGGGGGTAGTGTGTGTCTGGGTGCAGTGTGTGTCTGGGTGCAGTGTGTGTCTGGTGCAGTGTGTGTCTGTGGGTGCAGTGTGTGTCTGGGGGTGCAGTGTGTGTCTGGGGGTGCTGTGTCTGGGGGGTGCTGTGTCTGGGGGTGCTGTGTTTGTGAGTGAATGTATTTTTTTATTTAAATTTAAATATTTTTTTTTTTTACTAATAAAAAAAAAAAAAAAAAAATTTCCCCCCTCCCTTCTTCTCTACCTTTATCCTGGGAAGGGGGAGGAGATCCGTTCTGCCATCCATCCCTGGTGGCCCAGTGGTGAGAGTGAACTCTAACCTGCAGGTTAGAGTTCACTCTCGCGAGATCTGAGCGTTGCCGCGGCAACGGTAACCGCGGCAACGCTCAGAATCCCGCGAGAGGACCCGGCGGAGCTGCTTGTTAGAGCTCCGCTGGGTCCTCTCTCCTGCCTCCCTCACCCAGCCGGCGGCCGCATTTCCATGCCTCTGGGCCGGTGAGGGAGATCTTTGATCTCCCTACCAGCCCATGGAGGCACACAGCAGGGCCGGCGCTCGGGTAGTGCTGGCCCTGCAGGGGCCGGCCGGGGAGATCCTGTGATCTCCCCTGCTGGCCTCGGCCCCACGGCCATCGCGGCCCACCGGGCATTTGCCCGGTGTGCCCTATGGCCAGTCCGGGCCTGCTCCCGAGATTAGGTTCTGGATCTTCCCCTGGCTGGGGCAGGAGGTCTAGTAGAAGCTGATTACGACTGTTGCTAGTGTGCAATGCATGCTGACCGCAGATTAAATAATTGCACAGAATTCATGTGTACCAGGAGTGCAGCTAGCCCCCTGCACAAAAGTGCAAATATATCTGTATGTGCTGATTATCAAGCAGAAACGCTGCACATACAGATTCCTTGCACCATGACAACTTCTAAAAGTGAT